TATTGTTGGGTTGGGGTTGTTGGGGGGTGGGTGTTTTTTTTGGGGGGGTGTTTGTTTTTGGAAATATGGGGGGTTGGGTTTGGTGGTTTGGGTGGTTAGGGTGGTGTGGTGGTGGGTTTGGGTTGTGTTTTGGTAGTGGGGTGGGGTGGGACATTTACTCTAATATTTTTGGGAATGCGTTTACAAATATATGTTAAAATGACTTTTTGTAGATGTTAAAAAAAAATCTGAAGAAAATATTCTAGAAAAATATATTTTTAAATATTTGCCTTTGGAAAATATATTTAAATTTACATTTTTTAGAAGACATGTTAAAATATATTAGCGTAGGCCAATATATTGTAAATATATGTCATATATACATTTTTTCTAAATATATTGGAAATATATTTCTCTTCCATGTGGGTATGTTTGCTTATTTTTTTTAAGGTGAGCCCAGCTTTGACTGATATATCTGTAAAAGATAGCCTTGGATATCTGTTAATTTCTATATCTTCTGATCTATGGTACGGAACACACAGCCTGCTAGAGCTTAGCCTTAGGTCCGCTGTGCTCCAGACCTTAAGGTCTGAAGCTCAATAGACTAAACAGTAGACAGTTCTCAGTGACAGTCATAGGCCAAGCTAAGCTAAGAGGCTGAACTAATCAGTTCTTGGGCTTGTGCTCCATTGCAGTGTAGGATGTTCTGTAATATTAGCTGTGATGTCACCAGCACTTCCTCTGTTTCTAACTGCTGTGCCAAGACAGGACAGACCTGAGCCAGCTCTGACCTGCATCTCCATACATCAACAGATCACTCGAAAAAAATCTGTTGATGCAGAGATGCATGGGGGCCGGAGGGAGGAAAGGGCTGTATTAGGTTTCAACTGACCTGATTTAGACCCTCAAAGAAAAAAAAAAATGTTCAAAACAAATAGAATTAAATCCAAGGTCACAATTACTCTTTATTAACCATTTGCCTACCGCTCACTATTACCCCAATTTTCAGCTTTCAGCACTGTTGCACTTTGAATGACAATTGCGCGGGTCATGCAACAATGTACTCAAATGAAATTTGAATCTTTTTTAGACCAATAGAGATTTCTTCTGGTTGTATTTAATCACCACTGTTTTTTTTTTGCTAAACAAACAGACAAAAAAAGAACAAAAATTTTGAAAAAAAAATGAGTCTGAGTGATTTTTCTTTTTTGCTGATGTGAGCTGATGAGGCTGCACTGATGGACAATGATAGGTTGCACTGATAGGCGGCACTGATAGGCGGCATTGATGGGCATTGTTAGGCGGCACTGATGGGCTCTGATAGGTGGCACTGATGGGCACTGACAGGCATCACTGATGGGCACTGATAGCCAGCACTGATGAACACTGATAGCAAAGATTGATGCGCACTGATAGCAGGCACTGATAGCAAGCACTGGTGGGCACTATTAGCCAGCACTGATGGGGCTACACTGATCAGGGCACTGATGATCAGTGTAGATGTGCCCTCTGAGGAATGTAGCTTACCGGCTCTCCTCTCCAAACGCGCTTTTTAGCATGAGGAGAGGACTGCCGATAACCAGCATTTCCTGTTACACTGTGATCAGCTGTGATTGGACACAGCTGATCACATAGTAAAACATCCATGGACACCCTCCCAGAGCTAGCCGACTGTGCTGTAGCTGTCTTTTGGCTGTAGCACAGTCGGAAACTGGTTGAATGGAGGATCGGGGGAGTGTGTTATATATGTGTGGCTGCAAAATGAGATGGAGGGGGATCCTACTAGACAGCATCTGGTTCAGCTTGCCAGAAACCACACAAAGCTGAAACATTGCAGAAAAATGTAATCCAGAACTACCAGTGTATACAGGTGCTACTCAATGAATTAGAATATCATTAAAAAGTTCATTTATTTCAGTAATTCAATTCAGAAAGTGAAACTCATACATCATATAAATTCATTACACACAGAGTGGCATATTTCAAGCATTTCTTTCTTTTAGTTTTGATAATTATGGCTTACAGCTAGTGAAAACCAAAAATTCAGAAAAAAATTCAGAAATTCTCAGAAAATTAGAATATTGTGAAAAAGTTCAATATTGCACACTCGTGGTGTCACACTGTAATCAGCTAATTAACTCAAAACACCTTTAAATGTTTCAGGAGCCTTTAAATTGTCTCTCAGTCTGGTTCAGTAGGTCACAACAACCATGGGGAAGATTGCTGACTTGACAGTTGTCCAGAAGACAGTCAATGACACCCTCCACAAGGAGAGTAAGTCAGAAAAGGTCATTACTTTAGAAGCTGGCTGTTCACAGAGTGCTGTATCCAAGCATATTAATTGAAAGTTGAGTGGAAGGTAAAAGTGTGCTTGAAAAAGGTGCACAAGCAACAAGGATAACTGCAGCCTTGAGAGGAGTGTGAAGCAAAGGTCATTCAAGAATTTGGGGGAGATTCTCAAGGAATGAACTATGGCTGGTGTCAGTGCTTCATGAGCCACCACACTCAGATGTATCCAGGACATGGGCTACAACTGTCGCATTCCTTGGATCAAGCCACTCCTGAACCAGAGACAACATCAGAAGCTTCTTACCTGGGCTAAGGAGAAAAAGGACTGGACTGTTGCTCAGTGGTCCAAAGTCTTCTTTTCATATGAAAGTAAAATCAAGGTCCCTGAGTCTGGATGAAGAGCGGAAAGGCACAGAATGCAATTTGCATGAGGTGCCGTGTGAAGTTTCCACAGTCAGTGATGATTTGGGGAAAAAGTACTAATAACTGGTTTAATGATCATGATATCACTGTACTTGATTGGCCAGCAAACTTGACTGACCTAAACCCCATAAAGAACCTGTGGGATATTGTCAAGAGGAAAATGAGAGACACCAGACCCAACAATGTAGATGAGCTGAAGCAATCTGGGCTTCCATCAGCAGTGCCACAGGCAGATCACCTCAATGCCACACCGCATTGATGCAGTAATTCATGCAAAAGGAGCACCGACCATGTATTGAGTGCATACTATACTGTACATGGACATGCTTTTCAGTAAGCCAACATTTCTGTATTAATAATCCTTTTTTTTATTTGGTCTTATGTAATATTCAAATTTTCTGAGATACTACATTTTGGGTTTTGACTAGCTGTAAGCCATGATCATCAAAATTAAAAGAGAAATTCTTGAAATATATCACTCTGTGTGTAATGAATCTATATAATAAATGAGTTTCACTTTTTGAATTGAATTACTGAAATAAATTCACTTTTTGATGATGTTCTAATTTATTGAGATGCAGCTGTAGTACAGATACAGAATAATGTTATAGAACCATTTACTCCAGGTGATGTACAGCTGTTTCGTCCTTGTTGGTCATTATCAGTGATAGAAATGATAAAGAAAAAAAGGAAAGTCACAGCCTGTGCTCCTAGTTGGTACACTCGTGGAGAAGTGTATGAAATCTTTACAATCACTGGTCTTATGATTGGGATAATCTATAGTCTGAATGAGCAACAAAACTAAACGGAAGGGGTGCACTAACCTAAGTGCAGTAGTTAGTAAAAGACCTTTAGACAGAAGCAACCTGCACCCTCTGGCCAGTGGTGGAAACTTCTGTTGGGGTAGTAGACACAACAGGTTGTGCCTTTCTACCATTCAGGCAAACTCCATATCCAGCTCTCAAGTGTATGTCTCTTACTAAAGATCTTTTACTAATTACTGCACTTAGGTAGGTGCATCTGTTCCTTTTACTTTGTTGTTTAAATAGAAACAGTGGGTTTTATGAACTAGAGAAGTGGAAATAGCAAACATGTGCAGGACCATGCAAAACCGACTGGTGTTCAGGAACAGAATCTCTCTCTTGTATGACATGAATAAAATTAGAACTTAAAATATGTAGTGATCATTTAAAACTGCTGAAAAGAAAGAGAGAGTAGGTGCTTTCATAGACAACCAATGATATAAAGCCTTCTGAGTTTTAAATGATTTTCTAGCCTTCTCTACACAGATTACAATTAAGAGACAGTTGGTAGCTGTGGTTAAATCTTCCACCTTATTTTCTTGCAGTTGTCATGCATGAGGCCCAGTGTTGCAATATATGTCTTGGCATAGTAATACATGACTTCTATAGGTCTCTTTTACTTTGTTTTAGGTTTCTTTGATGCTTAGATATTAGTAAGCAGCCAAGACAGACTATTATACATACAGAGGTAATTTATAATAGTGTATTTGGCTGTATTGTTTGCATGACTTTGTTAGTGAAGAAACTGGATATAGGTATAAATTGAAAGTGAGCTGTGCATACAAGTTTCAGCCTTTAGAAATACTTTCATTTTTGGTCTAGATTACATAATTGCTCTAGGAAGAAATAGCAGCTGAAGCATATGAACAGCCTATGGTGGATGGGGTTTTGGCGTGTGTCCATAAGCACATTGTGTAGTCTTGTAAGCTTTCATTTCAAAGCTCTACAAAGAAGAGCTGGGTGGTAGAATTTCTGCATACACAATATGCTACTCTGAATATCTCCTGTTCAACTAAATGTGTTCTTCACCTGGACTTTCCATCTGCGACTAAACTTCAACATCTGAAAGTGAAAAACTGAAAAAAAAAAACCCCAATATTTTTGGGTTTGGTAAAACAAATTTTTTGGAATATAGGTACCAAATTGTTTGTAAAAATGTAGAAAACCTACCTATATACACTATATCATCAAAAGTTTGTGGACACCTGATAATCTCACATACTACAGTATATGGCAAAAATTATTTGATACCCCCTCCTAATTATTGAGTTCAGATGTTTCCAATTAATGTTCTTGTTAATATTACAGCATACAAATTAATATTAAACACTTGCCTACAGGGCACTTTTCCCCCTTCCTGCCCAGTCCAATTTTCAGCTTTCAGCGTTGTCGCACTTTGAATGACAATTACGCGGTCATACTACACTGCACCCAAACAAAATTTGTATCATTTTTTTGAGACAGATAGAGCTTTCTTTTGGTGGTATTTAATCACCACTGGGGTTTTTATTTTTTGCTAAACAAACTAAAAAAGACAGAAATTTTGAAGAAAATTTTTTTTTCTTAGTTTCTGTTATAAAATTTTGTAAATAAGTAATTTTTCTCCTTCACTGAAGTGAGCTAATGAGGCTGCAGTGATGGGCACTGATAGGCGGCATTGATGAGGATGGCACTGATAGGTGGCACTAATGAGCATTGACATGCATTACTTGTGGGCATTGACAGGCAGCACTCATATATGGCACTAATAGGTGGCACACATATATGGCACTGATAGGCGGCACTCATATGGCTCTGATGGGCACTGGTAGGTGGCACTGAGAGGCAGCACTGACTGGCACTGATAGATGGCATTGACTGGCGCTGATAGATGGCACTGATTGGAACTGTAGGTGGCACTGATTGGAACTTTTAGGTGGCACTGACGGACACTGATAGGTGGCACTGATGGCACTGATAGGCAGCACTGATGGGCACTGATAAGCAGCACTGACTGCCACTGATAGGTGGCACTGATAGGCAACACGTACTGGCACTTATAGGCGACACTGACTGGCACTGATAGACGACACTGAAAGGCAGCTCTGATGGGCACTGATATGTGGCATTGATATGCACTGGTAGGCACTAATATGTAGCATTGATGCGCACTGATGGGCACTGGTATGTGGCATTGATGGGCACTTACAGGTGGCACTGATTGGCACTGACAGGTGGCACTGATGGGGCTACACTGATCATCAGGGCACTGATCATCAGTGCCTTGATGATCAGTGTAGATGTCCCCTCTGACGGAATTCTGATTAACGGCTCTCCTCTCCTCATGAGCTGTCAGCTCACATGTTTACATGTTTACATGTGATCAGCTGTGATTGGACACAGCTGATCACATGACAGAGCTGATGTCATCTGCTCTTTACAGTGATTGGTGATCCACTGTGTCCTAGGGACACAACACACCACCAATCTTCTCACACCCCTGAGGTTGCACACGCACAGTTAGAGGGGGAGGACATCATATGATATCTTCCCAGAGCGAGAGAACCACTGCCCGCCCGTCATTACTTTATATGGGGGGGAGGGAGGTGGTTAAACAACTGTGTGCTTCCAACCTTGTGATGAAAGTTTGAGGACATGACTGTGCCCAAAAGTCAGGTCCAAAATTATATGTTTTGATGAGCTTGGAGTGAAGGAACCTGAGTTGCCTTCACAGAACCTTGACCTCAACCCTATTGAAAATCTTTGGGATATACTCAAATGCCTATTGCGTGCCTGAGCTTCTCATTCAACATCAGTACTAGACCTCAGAATTGCTCTTTATACTAAATGGGACAAATTCCCACAGACACGCTTTCCAGTGGAACCTGTTATAGCCCCAAAGTATTGTTCAGTGGTTTATCAATGCCCTTGGTTTTGGAACGACATATTTAACGAACTCGTGTATTGTAGTTGTGATGGTCAGGTATCCACAAACTTTTCATCATATAGTGTATTTGTACATATCACAAACAAACCAATAAAGTCAGGTTTCTGTGTTGCTATAGGTCACAATGTGCTATGGTAATAATCAATATATGCAATAGCCCTGACTTACAGTTATACTTGGCAATAAGGGTGATCTGAACACCCTGCATTTGGTTTGCAGAGGTTCGGCCTAACATATCAAACCCTATTGAAATCAATGGCAACAGAATCTGTCAAATCTATTTTATGCATTTGTAAGGCTAACAGCCAGGGGATTGGCTAAAGATTGCATGGGGGTTGGGCATTGCCTGGGGGTATCCCCATATACCAATGCAAACTTTGAAAAAAATAAAGAGCTATTTTGCAATGAGCAGTGAATTTATAATGCTGGTAGTGCAACATTAAATATGCACTATTCCTTTAAAAACCTTCTTGGGATGAGAGGTTCCCTAAACCTGCCTTTGAAGTGGCACATTTCTACCATATAAACAAAGTAGTAGCAAAAGTGACATTTACCATGAAAAAAAAGGTATTTCCCCTCATGTAATAACCCTGTTTTCATTCCTGATCTTATCCCTAAGGATCTTGCATGGTGGACTAATACAGGTATCATATGGATTGTAGATATATGTAATGACCAAGGTATCTTGTCGAGGCAAACCTTGCGTTCCAACTACATGATCATGAACTCTTCCACTATACTCTGATAACCCACTTCCTAAATGCCTTAAACCATCATTCAGATCTAACAGCCATGAAATCTATGGAATACTTGTGCAGGAAACTCGACAGGATATCTGGTCATATCTTGGAAAATAAATTAACGTCAAAAATCCAAAAGGTTTGACCATATGTCAATTTGCATTGAGCCTAACTTCATTAGGTTCAGTTCTAGCAGGGTTGGGGAACATCAAAGAACTTTGGATGCTGGACCCAAACCCTGTTGAAATGGGAGCCAAATCCATTAAACTAAAAATGCCCATTTTCTGGGCTAACAGGTAAGGGAGTGTCAAAAAACATAGGGGTGGGCAACATGCATCAATGCAATATTATTATTTTTTTAATCTCATGTGAACAGGAGCAGTGAATTTTTAAAACACTGCAATTTACAAGAGGAAAAAGAGTTCTAAATTGCCCTAAAATTACATCTTCCCCCAACTTAGATATATTTTTTAAAGACAAAATGGCACACAGACATGAAATGTCGCCAAAAATACATAGAAGACCCTTAGGGTTTTGTTATGAATTGTGGTGGACCTTTGGAGGAGTGGAGTCTATGTGCTGTTTTGAAGTTTTATGTGTTGGAGATTTAAACTGCCATTTTTAAGTAAAAGTTGCTTTTGCTGTAGTACATGCTGCAAAAAGAGTTAAAAAAATGCACAGAGTCCCCCCAAAATGTATGCAGAAGCTTTGAGTCTGGAATGGATTTGTAGGGGAACTCCACGCAAAACAAAACTGACTAATGAATAAGGTCCCCCTAAAAATCCATACCAGACCCTTAATCAGAGAATGCAGCCTGGCTGGCCAGGAGAGGGGGAAGGGTAAATGTGCTTTTGAACCATACTGGGTCACATTCCATCAACATGTGTGGGGAGGGGGCATGTTGATAAGGAAAATGGCTCCTTCACCACAACCCCTGAGGGGGTGTGGGCCTTATTGAAATGTAGAAGTCCCCTTTAATAATAAGGGGGCTACCAGATACTGCCCTCCACATGAGATGGTACATACTACTCCTATTCATTCACAACAAAAGATGTCACGTAGAAAAAAAAGACTCTCAAATGTTTGACAAGTCCTTTACTAAATTAATAAAAAATCACACAAAAAAAACATCCCTTGTTGTAAATACATTTTCAATAACAATGCCTACCACCCACTACTTGCCCAAAAAAACGCCAGATGACCCAATGCACATGACTGATGCCAACAGTATGCATAGCCAAATGACAGCTCACAAGCTGTTATCAGCTACACTATATTGCAAAAAGTATTGGGACATCCCTCCAAATCATTGGATTCAGGTGTTCCAATCACCTCCATGGCTGCAGGTGTATAAAATCAAGCACCTAGGCATGCAGACTGCTTCTATAAACATTTGCGAAAGAATGAGTCGCTCTCAGGAGCTCAGTGAATTCAAGCGTGGTACCGTGATAAGTCGCCACCTGTGCAATAAGTCCATCCATGAAATTTCCTTGCTACTAAATATTCCAAGGTCAACTGTTAGTGGTATTATAACAAAGTGGAAGTAACTCGGAACAACAGCAACTCAGCCACAAAGTGGTAGGCCATGTAAAATGACAGAGCGGGGGGCAGCACATGCTGAAGAGCTCACTGCACAAAAGTCATCAACTGTCTGCAGAATCAATAGCTATAGACCTCCAAATTTTATGTGGCCTTCAGATTAGCATGACAATAGTGCATAGAATGGGTTTCCATGGCTGAGCAGCTGCATCCATGCCTTACATCACCAAGTGCAATGTACAGCATCGGATGCAGTGGTGTAAAGAATGCCACCACTGGACTCTAGAGCAGTGGAGATGTGTTCTCTGGAGTGACAAATCACACTTCTCTGTCTGTTAATCCGATGGATGTGTCTGGGTTTGGCGGTTGCCAGGAGAATGGTACTTGCCTGACTGCATTGTGCCAAGTGTAAAGTTTGGTGGAGGGGATTATGGTGTGGGGTTGTTTTTCAGGGGATGGGCTTGGCCCCTTAGTTCCAGTGAAGGAAACTCTTAAGGCATCAGCATACCAAGACATTGTGGACAATTTCAAGCTCCCAACTTTCTGGGAACAGTTTGGGGATGGCTCTTTTCTGTTCCAACATGACTGCACACCAGTGCATAAAGCAAGGTCCTTAAAAACATTGATGAGATAGTTTGCAGTGGATTAAATTGACTGGCCTGCACATAATCCTGACCTTAACCCCATTGGAACACCTTTAGGATGAATTAGAGCGGAGATAATGTCTTTATTAGATTAAATACACTAGCTCAATACGAATTAATGTTAGCATATAAGAATTATACCATGAACAAAGTTAAGAAAAACTGGCAAAATTGGATTTCACACTCTACAGTCTCTAAGTATTTAAAGGAATTTTACACTTGTTAATGCTCTAAGATTGGAATTGTAATACTAATGAGAACATATCCTATCAGGTAACTGGAAAATGTTTTCCTCTTCCCTCTATGGGGATGTTTTTTTTGTGTTTTTTTTTTTTTCCTTCTCCTTTCCTTCTTAACTGACTTCTCTAATCGGTGATCCTTGGCGTACCTTAGGTCCATTCCCTGTTTACAATATGAGCCCTCAAAGGGGTAAACAGAGTAAAATACATTATAAGACTAATGGAACTTTTAAGACTTCTGTGTTATATGTTTATTGTGATCTGTACTTGCTTAACACAAATCAGTCATTTGGTTTTGCAGAAATGGTTTATTGGTTTATGTACAATATCAAATTTTTGATAAAACAATAAATACAAATTTAAAGTAATTTAAAAAAAGGATTGGAGTGGAGACTGCAAGCCAAGCCTTCTCGTCTGACATCATTGCCTGACCTCACAAATGCGCTTCTGGAAGAATGATCAAACATTCCCATAGACATAGAGTTGAAGCTGTTATAGCTGCAAAAGGTGGGCCAGCTCAATATTGAACACTAAGACTGGGATGCCATTAAAGTTCATGTGTGTGTAAAGGCAGGCGTCCCAATAGTTTTGGCAATATAGTATATACAAGGGAAGGGGAGGGAATAGTGGTGACATCACTGATCAAATATGGGCATGGACATATTTAGTCAATGTCATTGCCCAAATATGGCCAGTGACCATATTTGGCCAGTGATGTCACTGCTGTTGCTGCCCCTTTGGTTACATGGCTAGGGATTCCCGGCAACATCAGTGGTTCTTATGGACACAATGGGCACAAGCACCCCCTGCTCCTTCGCATCCAGTGACAGGATGCTGTCATATATATAAGTGGCAGAAATATTACTGTTATATATGATTTTTTGGCTCTCAACAAACAGGAGGCCAAAGAGGAAAAGTTTGGGTGTTTGTCTGAATGCATGAAAAGCCAAATTTCGGTTCATCCCCAGGTCTGGACTGAAACACTGGCTCATCCCTAATGTCAATGTCATGTTTGTGATAGTCCTAAAGCTGAGTGGAGTTGGAGTAGTCTAGATAGGCAACTCAAGAGTGCTTACCTGGCATGAGTTTACTGGTCCTAGCATTAAAGTAGGCCCTACAAGCAATAATAGACAGGTCAACATATAGTATATTGGAGCATGGTAGAAATCTCACAAAGATGCACTGTTCCAAGCTCTGCTATTCTGCTCCTCAGGTCCCACTGTTGCATCAGATACCAGGTCTCACAACTTGTCCAGCTGAACTTATGTAGAAAAAAGTAAAGGCAGAGCCAGACATTGTCAAAATCAAATCATGGTGCTTTATTCAATATTGCTGACTTCAAGAACACAGTCCCCACCTAGGCCATGCCTAACGGACCTGTTTCACTTGATCTATGCTTATATTGAAGAATAAGCCTAGCTGCATAATAAAGCCTTACGTTTTACTGATCACACAACATTCTTTTTTTTTTTTCTTTTTCTTTAATAGGTCAAGAGCTAATCAACATGGATGTTGAGCATTAAGGAAAACCTGTGGAGATAGACATATACTGTAGGAACTGCCATTAGACCTAAGTACTATGAACCTATGTTTATAATAATGTAAATCTTGATTTTTACTTCATTAACTAGTAAATCAATGGCCTAGAATAAGTAGCAGGATGGCAGTTCACACTTTTCAGACTTAGATGGGTGCATAATTCCCAGCCAGCAATTCACCAGGTAGCAGGGGCGGACTGACCATTTCGAAACTCGGGCTTTGCCCGAGGGCCCGGGGTCAGTAAGGGGCCCCATAAGGTGCCCCTGGTACCTTTTTCATAGGCTTTTTGGAGTTTGGGCAAGGGCACAGGGGCTCCATGATCCCCTATTGCCCGGGGGCCCCATGAGTTGTCAGTCTGCCCCTGCCAGGTAGGATTAGGGAAGTATTGCAACCTGCACCATTTAAAACAGGTCAGCAATGGCAGCTTCATTTGGATCAGTTCTTTAGACTCATAAGAATTTAAGGCATGTTCTAAACTGACTGTTCGCTTCTTCTCTTCGCTGAGATAGAAGGTATGAAGTTCTGCTGACTTTCATCATTCAATCATGTGCAAGCAAAAATATAGTTTTTTTTAAAAAGGTTCCTAGCTTGTGACTAGGTGATCTTTTCTAACATTTACAAAGCTAAGTGAAATTTCTCTTGCAAAGGGAAAATTCACTTTGCAAAATTGAACATGCTCTACTAATTTAGTAAATAAATTCCATACTGGCACTTTAAGCTTATACCTCTTTACATTATTTCTTTGGTCAGCAATGTCTCATTTTGCCTTACTCCTATATGAAGCCCTAAGTTGTTATGTGTTTAAATTCCTGCTGTTGCCCTAAGCATACCCTCCTCCACCTGTTTTTTTTTTTTTTTTATCCAACCATGACCCATTCTTCCCTAATCCCCTATGAAGCTCTAGATTGTTCAGGGCTAGCCATCTTGAAGTATAGGGATTTGTATACCTAATTTTTAAAGCTGAAGTAGTTCAGGTATGGGAACTACAGGAGTATTTACATTGGTCCAGCTTGGGCTAATGTAAGTATGTTTGTTCCTACCGCTACTACAGTGATTCAAATATCCAAATAAAATCTGCTCACAGTCAAAAACATATAACAGCATCTACTTTAAAATTGCGATACCAATTACCAAGTACAAGAAAAAAAATAAGCAGCGCTAAATACCAATAATCACATATTACTCAGGTTATATATAGGTCCATTTAAAAAGTCCGCCTTAATCCAAATAATTGAATTAATCCAGTGCATAAAGGTTAAATGTGTTATACATCCAATTGCATAAGTATGTTTCAGTGTATTCCCCCACCTTGTGTATCCACCAATAAAGGCCTCTTACCAAATTTGTGGGACCATAAAATTATAAATGGTCAAAATCGCTTTTGGGTCATCAGCGGCAGACTGACAACTCACGGGGCCCCCGGGCAATAGGGGATCCTGGGGCCCCTGTGTCATTGCCCAAACTCAAAAAAGCCTATGAAAAAGGTACCAGGGGCATCTCACGGGGCCCCCTACTGACCCCGGGCCCTCCGCAGAGCCCGAGTTTCCAAATGGTCAGTCCGCCCCTGTCGGTCATACACCTTCCACTGCTCTTTTCAAAAGATCTGCAGGTCAGCGCACTCCCATCCTGTCCTACCTTTTCCCAGAGGTTATGCTGCTCCATGTGCTGGCATCCATCTTGGATTTCTGCAGAGCATGGTGGGAGTCTTTTATGCCTTCAGGCCTCTGCGGTCCATCCCCCAGAGGGGTGTGGTTGATCACATATAAGCCTGTTGTCGGCATGTGCCCTTTGCATTCGTGTCTTGTGTGTTAGTGTTGCAACAGCTCTGTTTATACTCTCGTGACTCTCCTGGAATCTGACTCGGCTTGTGACTAGACCATTCTCTGCATTTTCCTTTGATCTGACCTCCCGTTGCTGAACCCGGCCTGTGACCTGTGATTCTTGTCTACTGTTCTGTACCGATTGTCCCGTTGTTGTCGACCCGGCCTTCCTGACTATGCTATTGTCTGATCTGATTCCTCCCAACTACACGCCATTGGTGGCGGCCATTACCGCAGCTGGGGTGTCTCGGGGGCCGCGACCTGGTTCCTGGCTGCGTCAAGTCCATCCCCACCATCAGGGGCCCTGGTGAAGGGCAGCCTGGGACTTAGATTCCGCACCCTGAGGGACTCTGGTCTGTGGGTGGTGGTTGTCATCAGTCAGTGCAGGACCCTGCCACTAGGCCTGCCAGTCCGTTCCAAAGCTCTTGCCCTGACACATCCAAAGAAGTTCATGGTTGAAAAAAACCTCAAACACTTCCGTAGTGTAGCAGGTTCTGAAAAAAGTCCTTTATTGGACTAGAATATAATTCCAACAGGATAAAAATAGCAGATTTGCTTGCAATCAAACAGATAAAAAATTAGCAGGATGATGGTTCCAAAAAATGCTAGCTCCAATCGACTAGCGTGCGTGATGTCGTCACGTCTAAGACACTCCCTACATGTTTCTGCATAAAGCTGAGTAATATGTGATTATTAAAAAAGGCAAAATCCTCCTGCGCTCTTATGTAGGGCAGAAACAATGTGTAAATATATATTGTAAATTAAATGGAATGAAAATAAGACAGCAGCTAACATCCTATCCTATACCATATAGGTCTAAAATCATAAACACACATAGATGATGCAGCGCTAATCCAAGTATAGAGAAGAAATATGGGTATAAAATAGGTATTTAGGTCTAAATTAAAAAAAAAAAAAAAAGTCTAACAAGTAGACCAACCAATAATCACACAGCACACGTGCCCCCAATCCACATGGGGATATAATAAAACGTGACCCCCAGGCATCCTATTAGGGACACAATGAAAATATAAATGTGAGTCCTTGCTATGGGATCAGAAAAAAACACCATGTGAAACACATATCATATATACATATAAAGTGTAAAATAAGTCCATAAATGGTGTGGTGATCTTCTTATTCATGCGCGATGTGGATGTCCAAGCACCCTCCTTGTGAACCCAAAAGGAATGGCTGCAATGGCCGCTCACCTCCACATCATGACCCTGCAGGGCCACAAAGCAAATAAACTTCTCCTCTGCATCCTCAAGGTACCCCTTTAATAACCAGACGATGTCACATGTAATAGGTCATCATCACTCCACCGTACCGGTCACCGGGCAGCTTAGCACTCATATAGGTACCATAGATCATATGCCCATAGAACAAGCAACATTTATGTGAGTGCACTTCTGGTTCTTTATAATATGCCATTAAACAGTATTACACTATGGGATTGTGTTCTCTCTCTGTTCTATGGGGCATATGATCTATGGTACCTATATGAGTGCTAAGCTGCCCGGTGACCAGTACGGTGGAGTGATGATGACCCTATTACCTGTGACATCGTCTGGTTATTAAAAGGGGTACCTTGAGGATCCAGAGGAGAGGTTTATTTGCTTTGTGGCCCTGCAGGGTCATGATGTGGAGGTGAGCGGCCATTGCAGCCATTCCTTTTGGGTTCACAAGGAGGGTGCTTGGACATCCACATCGTGCATGAAAAAGAAGATCACAACACCATTTATGGACTTACTTTACACTTTATATGTATATATGATACGTGTTTCACATGGTGTTTTTTTTCTGATCCCATAGCAGGGACTCACATTTATATTTTCATTGTGTCCCTAATAGGATGCCTGGGGGTCACGTTTTATTATATCCCCATGTGGATTGGGGGCACGTGTGCTGTGTGATTATTGGTTGGTCTACTTGTTAGACTTTTTTTTTTAATTTAGACCTATATACCTATTTTATACCCATATTTGTTCTCTATACTTGGATTAGTGCTGCATCATCTATGTGTGTTTATAATATGTGATTATTGGTATCTATTGGTATTTAGTGCTGCTTATTTTTTTGTTTTGTACTACAGTGATTGCTGCTAGATTCTGGGTCCCATGCCAAGTTGCTGCCCTGCTGCATTCAGAACACAGGAGGTTGTTCACTCAGCATAGGTGCAATTTAGGGAACACTTTGCATTTTCTCAGTGCATGAAAAGTGTTTTATGAGTGGATGAGGTGGAGAGGCAGGGCAGTGACATCACAATCTGCACCGGGCACAATTAGAGAAGACTTTGCAATCATTGAGAAAATCCAAAGTGTTCTCTGAATGGCAGGTGTGCCAAGGGGCAACGTCCTGTATTCATAATGTAGCAGGTAAGCCACTCAGAATGGGACAAGGAAGCTAGTGGAGTGCACTATAGTAGTAGGGCCTACTACAGTGATTTCCAGTTTCCAGAGAAATCACACTAGTATGGCACATACACAGGGCATGGACATGGTGTGGGCAGGAGGAACAGCTGCCCTGGGCACAGCAGAGCAAGGGAGCAGAGAATGGACTCAGGGCTGTAAACCCATTCTATGGCATACCTTAACAGCGGGCGAGGTGGTGCAGTTCCGCATCCGTGCCCTTGGTGCTGGATGAAACTGTCCTATTACTGCACAAGCTGGACCAATGTAACTATTTAACAATAGCCATACCTGGAATTAATCTTTAAAGTGAATAGGAATGTGTTCAAGGAGCAGGATATGCCAGAGTCTCCTGTAACATAAGACAATTTCAGTTGTTGCTGTATGTCAGGAGTATTGCAAAGTCTGCATTTAAATAAGTTGGATACAAATGAGAAAAACTGTTCTAAACCTAGGGTGACCTATACTAAGAAAGGCACAATAAAAGGCATCTTTTTATAGTTCAGGTTTTAGGCTACATAAAATGAAGTTAGTTGAGTAAAGGACTACAAGCACTGTAACAATATCATGCAGTAACATTTAGACCAGTCATTGAAAGCATGCAAGCAATCTAAATGCACCACAAATTAACCACCTATAAAGTGTATTACCAAAACTCACGTGAAAGCCCTAATGTGATGCTTTAATGATAGTGATTTATGGAGGAATGCTGTTGAGTCAGACTGTTTATAAGATAATCAGGTGTGATGTGATCAAGCAGTATTGTTTAAAAATGATGCACCCAGAATGAAACTACAGCAAATTCCCAGCATGGAAACACTAAATACTAAAATTGCTAACCTCTATTTTTATATAAATATTTTTATAATTTTATGGTAAGGTGAAAACACTACAAGCCAAGTAAAATAGCTACATTTACATGTGTCCCATGTGCATGTATGTGTGCCTATTTATGTTATTTTGTAATGTGTTTTTCACAATAGAAAAACACTAAAAATATATGTTTTCACATTAACAAAGTTTACATTGCAGATAGCATGCTATTTCGTAAATAAACCATGACAAAATTGATACTTGTCTGCCACAGAAAGATTTTTTTTTAGTTTTAATAAAATGAAAATATTTATGGTCCATTATTTTTACTATTTTTTTACAACCTATATATGTATTTCACCTAGCTACTGCAAATAATTATTTTTATTTCTGTAAATAATAAATGTAAAAATGACTTTTGGTTAAAGAAGTTTGTTAAAAAAAAAAAAAAATCTGGTTCCTTGTATATATACATCAAACAGCCTGACTTTCATTTTTACACTGCTTATACACTAAAAAAAAGCCTAAACTATTTTAATGAGAATGTTAACTCAGGGTGGTCACCATCTGTGCAAACTGTCTGAAACTGTGACTTCCTCTTTGCTTTATTCTCAGCCAGAGAGGAAACCAATTTTATAGATAGTCAAAGAAGTATCAATTAGTTTTCAAGCAATTGAGGATTTACAGCCTAAACAAATGTTAAGTCTGGAAAAGACTTCTTACAACAAACAGATAAACATGTTATCTGCGACCTCAGATGTTTTTCAAGCAGACAAAACAATCAGTATTTCATAATCTCTGTTCATAGAGCTGGATATTTTCCCGCAAAAATGTTACAAATATGATTATTTAACATTGTTTAACATTTGCTTCTTTTCATTCACATTTTGGAGATATTCACAGAATATTGTAGGATCACTTTGTTTTTTGAAATGCCCATTATTTTATTAAATATAGTATGAGGATTTGGGTTTAACTGATTTCTTTCTTTTTGCTTTATTTGGCATTTTATTTATTTATTTACATTTTTTTCTTCATCTGCTTATTTTATTGCTTTCAGTATTATTACAGTTATTATTCACTATTATTACAATAAATGTTTATCTGTAGATGATAAGTTACCTTTAATGAATATTGGTTATTTATACTTTTTTGTGATTACAATGCTCTGTAAAAAAAAAAAAAGAATCATGGGAGCTACCTTTGTGCGTTTTTTTTTATATATATAAGTGCATGCTTGAAAGCTGTCATGGTGATCCCTGTTTCAATTAGTCACTAATTTAAAAGAAGCGTGCAGGTTGGGAATTCAGACTCTGAAGACTTTACAAAAATGACAAATAACTTATGAAATACTTCCAGATATGGCTAGTGAATTTCTGGTTTCCTATGTTAGTAATATAGATTTAAAATCTGCCTTGGTAATCAATCCATATGAGGTTATATGTTGTATTTAAACTTACACTTTTGATGCACCATCAATGATAAGATAAAATTTAGGCTTGATGATTAAAACAATATCTAAAATTAAAATGGAAAATAGATGGTCCTTGTTAATTAAAGTGGTAAGCCAATAATATGCACAATTAAAAAATGAGTTGCTCCTTATTATGGCTAGATGCTTATAATGAATTCCTTAGTAAATAGCTCATTGCTGTGAATCTCTTACTAAAGCCCCCAGAGCAACCCTCCAGATGCAGTTTCCAGCATTTTAGATAGTTTTTACATATTCCTTGTTTAGGCAATGCATGAAATTTGGCCTTATGAAAAATGTCAGATTTTTCTTATTGTAAGTCTTACGGGATAAGGATAAAAAAAAAAAATATTACGAGTAATTATCAACATTGGACAGGAAAATTGTCACCGTCAGGGAGATTGACCCTGCACTTCCTATCTCCAGACTCCAAACAGTGACACAGACAGCAACAACAATCTGCCAGAGGGTCAAATCCTTTCGCACTGTATCCAGCACTAAAAAAAAGCACAATTAATATTATGTATTCATCTTTTGAGCCAGTAGGTTGAGCTTAAATCTCAATTTCACATGGCTAACCATTTATTTTTACTTCCTGCTGAGGTAAACAAAAATTGTATACTTACCTATAGGTAATTTTTCTTTTCTGGCACACATGCTAGGCAGTATTCTCCACCCCACTGGACTGATAGGAACTACTATTCTATAAATAAATAATTCCCTCTCAACACCAGCATTCTTATTAATCTATTTGTCAATAAATCAAAACAGAAACTAACGTAACTAATATGCTGTCATGCATATACTGTATGTCATGAAAGGAAAATTACCAATAGATAAGATACAGTTTTCTGTTTTCCTGACACAAGCATGATGCTCTGCAGAGGGTCCTTAGAATTTCTAGTGTTAATATGTGGTTACACCCCTTAGCACCTGATGGATAAATGCATGTACAAGCTATTGGGATTTGAGCACAGGGATCTCTTGTTTGTTGTATTGTTGGGTCAGTAGCCAGACTTGAACCTTGTAGCTCTCCCCATTGTGTCTTTTCCCCTATGCTAGCATTGTGTCCACAGTAGCATTTGCGTAGGCAGAGCAGAGTAGGACTGGCCATAGAGGGATTACTTTGACGCAGTTGGCCAGCTTAAGCATGTATTGCAATATGTGTGAACCAAATATCCCTATTTATTGCATAGTCTGCTTGAAAGGGTATACAGTATACCAGTGTGCAGAGGGTCTTCAGAATTTCTAGTGGAGATATGGAATGCATTCTCCTTATTGATCTGACTGTATGGAAACAACTGTGAGAACAGATACTGGAGAGCAGGGGCAGACTGACAATTCATGAGGCCCCCGGGAAATAGGGGATCATGGGGCCCCTGTGTCCTCACCCACACTCAAACCACACCCAAAAAAGCCTATGAAAGGTACCAGGGACATCTCATGGGGCCCCCTACTGACCCTGGGCCCTCGGGCAGTGCCCGAGTTCCCCAGTGGTCAGTCCGCCCCTGCTGGAGAGTTTAATAAAAGACCACATAGATGAATTCTTGCTATAAAAAAATATTTTAAGCAATGGACAGCATGGAATCATGAAAGACAGAAGTTGTCAAACAAATCTGATTTCTTTTTATGAGGAGGTGAGCAAAACCTTGGACAGAGGGGTGGCGGTGGACATGGTATACTTGGATTTTGCAAAAGCGTTTGACACAGTTTCCCACACATGGCTAATCTGTAAGGTAAAGTCTACAGGCTTGGAAAAATCAGTATGCAAAAGTAGAAAACTTGCTAAAAGATCGTATTCAGAGAGTAGTGGTTAATGATTCATACTCTGAATGGTCTATGGTTGTCAGTGGTGTACCCCAAGGTTCAGTGTTGGGACCCTTACTTTTTAATATACTGTATGTATAAATGATATAGGGTCTTGGATTAAAAATACCATTTCAGTCTTTGCAGAGGACAGCAAGCTGTGCAGTGGAATAACGTCCTTACAGGATGTCTCCAACTTACAAGCCGACCTCAAGGCACTGTTTAATTGGGCAATTGTGTGGCAACTGAGGTTCAATGTTGATGTACGATTATGCACTTGGGGGCTAAGAATATGCATGCATCATACATACTGGGGGGGTACAACTGGGGGAATCAATGGTGGAGAGGGATCTGGGAGTTCTGGTAGATCACAAGCTTTATAATGGCATGCAATGCCAAGCTGCAGTTTCTAAAGCGAGCAAAATCCTCTCTTGTAATAGGAGAGGTATAGACTCCAGAGAGAGATATATCATTTTACTCCTGTACAAATCATTAGTAAGACCTCATCTGGAATATGCAGTTCAATTTTGTACAACAATTCACAAAAAGAACATTGGGGAACTGGAGAAAGTACAGAGGAGGGCAACCAAACTGATAAGAGGCATGGGGGAGCTCAGCTATGAGGGAAGATTAGAGGAACTGAATTTATTATCTCTTGAGAAGAGGAGATTAAGGGGGGATATGATCAACATGTATAAATACATCAGTGGTTCATATAGTGAACTTGGTGTAGAGTTATTCACCCTGAGGTCATCATAGAGGACAGGGAGGCACTCTTTACATCTGGAGGAAAAGAAATTTAATCTCCAAACACGTAAAGGTTTCTTCTCAGTAAGAGCTATGAAAATGTAGAATAGACTTCCTCAAGAGTTGGTTCTGGCCAGCTCAGTGGATTGCTTTAAAAAAGGCCTGGATTCTTTCTTAGATACACAGAATATAACTGGATATTAACATTTATAGGTAAAGTTGGTCCAGGGAATATCCGATTGCCTCTCGGGGGATCAGGAAGACATTTTTTTCCCTTGCAGGAGCAAATTGGATCGAGCTTTGATGGGTTTTTTGCCTTCCTGTGGATCAACTGTAAGTGTAGGATTATAACTTTTTTTTTAATGGTTGAACTGGATGGACTTTTGTCTTTTTTAGCCAGACTAACTATGTAACTATGTAACAGTTTGATGGGATATAGTGTATTCCTTACATAGACGCATACTAAAATATAAAAAAATCAGATTTCTAATTTTAATAAATCTCTTACGCATGTAGTGAGATCTTTATGTATAGATCAATAAATTGTTAAATTATGTCTAATTCATTTGTATGTTTGTGATTTGCCTTATTTAAATTCCCATGGGAGAACAAATAATACTGTGTACATGTTAAGAACAATGTTTAGAAGTTGTAAAGTTTTTCTTTGGTGAGGCCCTTGATGAACTGTATCACCATTGGATGTAGGGCTCAATAAGTAGCTGGAGATGTTGATAAGGTTGAGATATGAACTTTCTTCGTATTGACTCCTAAATTCATATTTAAACCTTGCTGGAGAAATCCTAGAATATGTTTCATATCTGAATCAGCTGAATTAAACTTCAGCTTCAATGAATTCTTCCGAAACTCTGGAATAAACTATATTAGCAGATGATTTCTAAACTTTTAACAGAACATTAATTACTAGAGAAGAGAAGCCTTCGTTCTCTAATCTCTTCTGCTCAGTCTTCACTAGATAGTTTCTCTACATTAGTGAAACATTTCATCTTGATATAGGAGATTCAGAATCTATGGAGGCAAGAAAGGCTGGTCTGAAATTGCAGTAGTGAAAACCAAAGCCGGAGAGGGCAGAAGGCAAAATATTACTGGAACTGGGGGGAAAACATACAGTATGCTAAGTATGCTTTTGAATCCAATGGGCAGGGCAAAACATCCACTGCCATAGATAGGAACTGGGGGGGAAAAAACATACAGTATGCTAAGTTTGAATCCCATGGGCAGGGCAAAACATCCACTGCCATAGATGATGGAAATTAGAATCTGGAGATGAATCTCCAACACTTGGTGTAGCTTGAAGTCACCATCAGATCCAAATCTGATTGCTTCCAGACCCTACAAAATCATTTTCTGATTCAATGACCAATCATGGGCATGGTACATTTTGTACCATGATAATATGATAGATAATTCTGTGGGTATGTGAGAAGCCTTCAAATAGGAGGTGGTTCTGCGCCCCAAATAAGAATTGGCTTGACTTCTCTTGAAAGGAAGTTGTTCCTTTTTCCACTCTTCCTCTGTTCGTAGGACACTGCTGTTTTTTTTGTCCATCTGGATTACAATGTTCTTTTTCTGAAATAAGGGAGCAAAAGAAAATATTGTGTTAGGTGGCCTCCCAGTTCCTCCTGTCTTCCTTGCAGGTTGTGGGTTAAAGAGTCTGGATGCACACCTTCCAGCTCTAGATTGTTCGACAGCCTTCCTGTTACTTCCAGCAATTATTGGATGCCTCCCTGTATTTATCCACCACTCTTGTTGGCTGCAGGGTAATGAGTCTGGCTACATGCACCCATCTTCTGGATTGGTCCATGGTGCAGGAGGCACCTTATTGGTCACCTGCTGACCAGTGCACTTGCATCTTTTCCTGTTACTGACCTTTGCTGTGTCATCTGACCTCTCTGCTGTCTGCCCTTACCTCAGCTACATATAATGTATATTCTACTATTTGCTGGCTTTTCCTAACCTTTGCTACAATTTATAGATATCTCTGCTCTTTGATTCATGCCCTTACCTTTGCTGTGTTTATTGAATACTTCTATTCTCTGTTGCCTTTCCTGACCTTTGATCCATTTACAGGATATCTCTCCTGTTTACTGCCTGTCATATCCTTTGTCATGTTTAACTGATACCCCTGCTGTTTGCTACCTACCCTGATCTTTTCTGCATTTAACTGATAATTGTCCTGCCTGCTCTAACCTCTGCTATGTATAACAGATGCTTCTACTGCCCTCTTTTTTTTTAATTAAAATCTTCCATACTTACCAGTCTTTACATATGATGGGTCTGTTACAATATTATTAATTTAGAATAAGCAAGACAGCAAAGCAAGGCTATGGCAAAGAAACAGAACTCAGTAACATGCCCAGAAGAACAAAATGTATCATATAGACTTCAGCACAAGGGGAAAACACTTATCAGTGGAAAGATGTAAATAGGGCAGAGGTGTAGGGTCGTCCCAGGAGGAAAAAGCTTCTACCTCCACAGTAAAAAGGTGTTAGATGTCCCACCAATGGGCCTTGCTTCCATGTCAAACTGCTGCCTGCCCTTTTCACCTGGCTAGGAGCATGCAATCAGTTGTCCTTGAACCTGCCAATCACAGAGGCCTGGGGGTGGTGACATCATGAAAGTGCAACCTCACTAGTAAGAAGGAAAGAAAAGAGAAGGAGGAAATAGATATAGAGGAAATAAGTGCATATCCCATGTATTCCAGGAACAGAAGTGTCACATGCTTCTGCTGCTGCCCAGTCCTAAAACTGACACTAACCCCCAAGACCACTTAAACAGGTCTTTCCCATATAGGATACATTTAACATCCATATAGTGAGGACTTCAGGATGAAGAGCCGAAAAAAAAACCCCAGCCTGGAGGGGACTGATTTTCATGGTTCTCCTGGCTTTCTTGGTTAAGTAAAGGCAAAAATAGACAAAAATGAAAAATGAAAAAAATATTGTTGGTATAGTTGGATTGATTTATTTATAGAGTAGGTGGTCCTATTTGTCCAGCGGAGGCATAGCTATCTATTAGTGTGCTGCCTGCTTGTGCCAGGAAAAGCAATTGTCAAAGACCTCAGTAGCTGAAACTATGTACTAGTGAGTTAGACCAGTACACTACCCCATCACCTTCACCTGTGCAACTGCATCTGACCCTGCCTGAAAGGAGATAGGTACTGTGTGAAAATCTATCTATTTATCTATCTATTAGAAATATATATCCGCAAACCAATATTATTTCCTTATAAGTGGTAAACCATTGACTTTCCACATATATCCCAAAACCATTATTTTTTCCATTTAAATGGGAAACCATTGACTTTTCACTAATGATTACATATCAATGACAGCTTGAATTTAAACAATAAACATTATTTCTATATTATCTGCACTTACAACATCTATTTTGCATGTAATTGTTTTGCCTTTACATATACACTTCCAAATCTTGTAAAAGGCTTTCCTGCTAGACCACATACTGTCCCAAAATATCCCTTTGTTATTCAGTGTTTTGCTAAGGTGGCATTGTTATTTGCCAAGACCAGACCCTTTGACCCTGATAAACTTTACTACAGTTATGTGTGTGAATTCCTCTTTTGTAGACCAATGCAACAATATAAAGGAACATACCTAGCAATTAAAAGCTAGGTTTTATCATGACAAATTCTTTAAAACCCATTGTACTGTATATGAGTCATACCAGAAAATGAGCACTTGCACTATCCATTATTAAAAAAAAAAAATTAGCAATTTGTTATCTTTCATTGGTAAACAGAATTCAGGAAATGTGTGATTAAAAATGTGTATCCAATTACGCTATGATCTTTAATTCAATTTTAACTTAAATACCTCTTTTGCCTTCTCAAGTACAATAAATGTCATAGAAAAGAATTACAGTTTAAAAATCACTGATTAAACATGCCCCATGTTATTTTGTAATGATAATTTATCCACTTGCTA